ACCTGTGTCCCGCGCATGCGCTTTGCTGTCTCGCGCACCTGTGCCCCGCGCATGCGTTTAGCGGCCTCGCGCACCTGTGTCCCGCGCATGCGCTTTGCTGTCTCGCGCACCTGTGCCCCGCGCATGCGCGCTGCGGCCTGGCGCCCCCGGGTTGGATTTTAAACTCAATTTTTTCCCGAAATAGTCTTTTTTCAATGTATTTCAGGACGTGTAGCACAGCCGGGGGTGCAGAATAAACGGCGTGATTTTGTGTCTTGCCCTGCTCGCCGCAGTCTCTCAGCGGTGCCTGTGCCCCGAGGGAGCCGGGGGCTTGTTTTTCCGGGAATTCGGAGCCGGCCTTGCTCCGAAAGGTGTTGGCGGGGAGGGGGGATTTTGGTTCGGAGTGTGGCGTCACCTCGCCGGGGCCGTTGGGAACGGGAGCTGGGCAGAGCTGTGGGTCCACTGTCACCACGTCACCGCACTTGGGGCGAGCACGAATCCGTCACCTTTAATCCGTCACAAAAAACAAGAGGCAACTCCCGACATCAACGGTTCCGAGGCATGCAAACAACGGCACAGGCAACGAGAAGGCTTTCACACAGCACTGGGGATGAAATAAATACCTGTCAAAATGATTGATCCCGTTAGAAATGATGTAAAATATTTATTGAGGGCTTTGCCTTGCAGAGGCACGACATAAATAGAGTAAAGTCCTGCTGAAATGCGATCCGGCGGCGCGGTCCCCAACCCGGGGGGCTCGGGTGCCGCTCCCCGAACAGTCCCTGGGGGTTTTTTTTTCCCCCCCCCCGGGCAGGGCAGGGCCAGGGGGGCAGCAGAATGTGCTCGGAAGGGGCCCCGGGGCGCCGGGCTAATCCACCCCTTCGAAGCCCTGGGCGTTCTCCACGGCCATGAGGAGCTTCTCCCGCAGGTCCTCGAACGAGTCGTAGAGAGGCAAGTCCAGGCGGTTAAAGCTGGAAGGGGGCGAGGCAAAAGAGCAGGAATTCAGGAGAGGGGGAAAAAAAAGCCGACAGAACCCCCCCGGCGCCGTTATTTCGTCTTTCGTCGAGAGCCCGGTTTCTCGAGGCCGCTCCGGTGACTTACCAGGTGTGAGCGCGGGGCAGCTTGTCGGGACTCCCCCACTGCTCTATTGTAAACAGCTGAGGACCGTTTGAACCTGGGGGGGGAGAAGAGAAACCCCGTGAAACAGGAATTCCTGGACACTACAAAAAACACCAAAACGTTGTTTTGAACACCCGACGTCGGCGTCGGGCGCGGGTTGGATTTTCCACCCAATCAGAGCGGCAGAAACGTGGTTACTTCCCCCCGAGCTCGTTTCGGTGCAAAACTTAGAACCCGGGGCGAAAGGAGGGGGGGCTGGATTTCTCTCAGCTCACCGTAAAGTTCGGCAAATCCGTTCATAGGCACTCGAGACGTCCCGGTGACAAACTGCAGGAGCCGGATGCGCTTCTCGGCGTCCATCAGCAGGACGGCCTGTCGGCAAACACCGGTTGTGCCACCCCGCAACCCTCGGGACACGACAGAGGGTCTCCACGGGGTCCGGGCTCCCCATCCCCATCAAAGCCACCCCTGCTTTGACCCGGGAGAGGCGGGAGCAGGACATTTCCCTCCCGGCGCAAACACCCGCCCCCCGATTCGTTCTCAGAGGTTTCCAAGAAGAAAACTCTCATTTTTAGCAACAGCCAGAGGGTGGAGAGCCAGGCCTCACCTTCCAGAACCACTGGATGACGGGGTGGTTGGGGCAGTAGCCGTTCTTGTAGATGGTGTGTTGCCTCCAGTCGTTGACGTCGACGTCGCCGAGGCCACACATCAGGAGCTGCGGGGAAGCGGAGCGCGGGGGGGGGTCAGGGAGGGTTCGTGGCACTGCCCCCCACCCCCAGCCACCTCCCCAAGGGCGGCGTGGCACGAAAAGATTTATTAATTAGGGAGAAATTCCCCGATTTCCCGCTCGGAGCTCCGATTTCCCCGCTCGGAGCGAGGCGGCTTTGCCCGCGCGTTCCCTCGGGGAGGGAACGTGGCACGTCCCCCGGGAGAGCTGCGGGCATCAAACCGACTCACCTCCAGCTCGTTCTCGTCGAAAATTTTGATCAGATCGATGGGGAGCAGCTCCGTGAACCCCTGCGAAGAAGCGAAGCCAAGTCAAAATCCCGCTGCCGTCCCGTCGGCGCTCCCAGCCGAGCTCCCTTCCCACAGACCCCCCCCGGGGGGAAGAAACGTGCCCTGCAGGCAGCTCCAGAGAGCCCTCACCTCCAGAAAGGCGTTCATTTGCTTCTGCACTCTGTTGACAAACCTCCACTGGATGACCAGGCTGCGGGGAGAGAGAAGAAAAAACCCCCCTCAGCCAAGAGTTCAGAGATTTCAGCGACCCCCCGGCGCTTTCACGTCCTCGCTGACGACTTCAGCGCGCTCAGTCGGTCCAAGTTATCAGCTGAGGCCGGTGGAATTCGGGGAAAAAAAACACCCCAAAACCGAAAATGGGAGCACTCACTCGATGTACTCCCTCTTGTTCTCGTTGGTCACCATGATTTCAGAGCCGTTGGGCTTCAGGTCCACTTGATATGTCTGCGTTTCAAAAAGGCCCAAAAAAAACCAAACAAACTGTTATTTGGGGCCACGTTTCTTGCACGACCCCACCCTGAGCAGCATTTTACCAGGAAATTCTCAGTAAATGAGAATTGGAGTCGGGGAACGAGCTCGTGCCAGCGGAAGGGGAAATTTGGCGACAATTTGGAGCTAAATTGCCAATCACCAACTGGTGTCTCCCCGTCCTGTGGCTTCGATATTCTCCCTGGTTCTCCAAGGAATTCCTAACTTCACGTTACACCCTCCAGGCAAAAGGCAGCGAGCACTGACAGGGCATTTTGTGTTCTTAAAAGAAGGCCCAACCTCGGTAAACTGCCAAACCGACCGACCCCTCCGGCGGAAACCACCTCTCCCCTACCTGCCCGAAGTTCTCCTCATCTATGCAGAACATGAGGTCCAGCTCCGTGGGGTCGTTCTCCAGGATCCACTTCAGGGAGTTGTAGTACTCGCTGTCCTGGGGGGCAGAGTTCACGAAACGAGGGTTGGCAAACGGGGCTCCCGAGACCCCGGGGCGCCGGCCGGCGC